TGAGAAGTTGGTGGTCTTGCAAAAGTCTACCATGTGATATTCAGCTTCATTTCTCCCACCAAGGCTACATATTTCCAACTATGGATCCTTCCTCTTTGTTTCCAACTTTTGCATTCCAACCACCAGTAATTATCAATTCATCTTGACTGCATATTTAAACAATTTCAGATGAAAGAAGTTGGTCATAATCACTTATAATCATTTTAATCTCTCTTAAAGCTGATTCCTTTCTCATTATAAATCTTATTTTGTGCACTTTCTCTTTTCCTTCAACAAGCTTCTGAAATTTAGGATTTTTGTTTTATTTCTATCATTTTTAATCTTGTTAATTTTAACTTTTATTTTGATTAATTTACTCTTCTTGGGACCTCTTGGTTGGTTTCTTTATTCTTTAACCAAATTCTTAGAATAAATATTTAGCTATATTTTCATTGTAATTTCTTTCTTTCCTTTTTTAAAATGAAAATCATATACAGATTTTAGATTTTCTGCTGAGGAGAACTGTTGTTGTTATGTTTAGGTTTTCTTAATGAGAAATTTAATCTATTGATTTCTATAGAGTTTTCAATTTATTTTTAAATTTGTCGTTGAAAACTTCATCACTTTTTTATTATTTCTAACTTTATTATGATTTGTACAAATTTAATTTTTCTATATCACTAATTTTGCTGGATTTTCATAATCATGAAGGATGTGTGCTGAAGCTTCAGTACTATAAAAATTCCTACTACACAAAGTCATGTTGCTTTCTCTCTTCTTTTTGCTTCATTTCAGCTGATAGAAATTTTTTTTAAAGTTTTTCACTATAGTTCGTTCTCAGACTGACTGCTCTGACCTCTAACTCCCAGCCCCTTAGCTGTCTTCCCGGGGATCTTTAACAGAAAGAGTTTATTTGATACACACTCGTCTGATCTGATAATAACCAGTTCCTAAGGCAGGACTAAGCACTCACTGGAGCCTTCCCCAGCAAGCCTCAGATCTCACGGACGGACAGCTGCTAACCCTGCCTGTAAATATTGCTGAGGGCATCCGCTTTGATTCTTCTACCAATTAAAATGCCACGCTGTGGTCTTTATCCACATAGGCAAACTGAAATGCCTCTCTATTAATCTCTTTGACCTAAATTATTTTCTCTGTACCACATTTGATTGATTCCATCACTATATCCACTCTCTTGCCTACAAAGGATGGCAGAGGCAGAAATCTCACTTGGATGAGTTGCCTCAAGCCTTCAGTGCCCTCAGCCAGCGCTATAAGATCAATGACTCAAATAACCATTTGCTGATACTGGAAATTATTCTCTAAAATGCCAAACCACTTTCCCAGTGTACATTCTCAAGGGATATCTTTTGAAACCCAGACCATGTCCCCTCACTGAAATGACTCACTGGGCACATGACCTGAGTACATGGTGATGGATTGCTGGAATTATAAGAAACATTTGCCATTGTTTTGTTTGTTTCTTTGTTTACTTGCTTGCTTCAGAAAATCACAGCAGAAAAGGTATGTGCTGGTCAGTTGTAACAAAGCCAAAGAACACTGTAACCTCCAGAATTTTCTGCTTCTTGTTGAGAACTTATTTATAATTGTTTGGCTTATCTACTGCTCCTACGCTATTTCTTACTTTCCTCCCCAAATACTGGGATTAAACATTAAACCCCATAAACATTTCTGTTATAAAGATGCTCACAATTTTAAAACCAGGCAGTCATATAAGTGGACATTAAAAAATGCTAAACTGAACTCACTGCTGTTAGGTCTATCGACTTACAAGACAGAATAGAATTGCTCCAACTACCGCATTTCCCAGGCTGTAATATTTTCGGAAGCAGATTGCACATTTTCCAACCACCAATCTTTTTGTTAGCAGCTGAGTGTTTAACCCCTGCAGTCCCAGGGCTCCTTATAAATGGATGTAAACCATAGTGCCTGTTTAGATATTATGACTCATTCTCTAAAGGGTTTCAACTCCTTTTGTGATGTCACCCGGTTTCCTTTTCCTTATATTTCACGGTCAGTCTCTCTGAGCCATTTGTGACACCAAAAGCACATTGTTCAATCGACTACTTAGCTGCTACTTAGCTCCAGCGTACCAACTGGGCAGCCTCCTTGTTCAGATATTCCAGGCTCTCCAGCATCTGGTCCCCCCCTATTTAATGTCACACTCTACTTGGTCTTTTACATGAAATTTAAGACTCCAAACAAAAGACAATGTACAAAATAATGTATATTTGGAATTTTGAGATGAAGGCAACAGTTTGGTCCTAAAGAAACTCGAGATCTAAAGAAAGGGAAATAGTCCTAATAATAAGAATCATCTACTCAGAAAGCCCTGGTGGCACTGCAGATTAAGTATGATGCTGCTCCACCCACATTGACTATTCAAACCCTCAAGCTGATTCACAGGCGAAAGGTGAGTCCATCTGTTTCCATAAAGATTTCTAGCTTTGAAAGCCCTTTGGAGCAGTTCTATTCTGTCCTATAGGAAGGCGATGGGTCAGAATCTATTTGAGGGCAGTGGGTTTAACTTTATGTTTCACTGTAAAAAGTGTTATAAAAATTAGATTTAAAAAATTATGTAATTATAAAGAAATATGTATGGGCCCATGCCATGGGTGAGGCAAATTAACTCTAGGATTTAAAACCCAAAATCAAAACCACTTCCGTTGAGTTGACTCCAACTCATAGAAACCTACACAGGCTCTCCAATGCTCTAAATCTTTACTGGAGCAAACAGCCTCATCTTTCTCCCAAGGAGCTGCTGGCGGATTTAAACTGCCTACAGAGGAGGAGAAAAGCCAAAGATACTTAAAAGACGATCTCAAACCCTACTGTCATTACTAATTCCAACCACTTTTGATTGATTTCTGACTTCTACTGAAAATACCTTCAATTTATTGTCAACCATAGTCATTTTAATACTTATTTATATTCAGTGGCACAGTTCTCTACAAGGGAGCTTCAAAATGTTCGTGGAAAACTTTCATTACCTTTTAATTCTGTTTTTCCATGAACTTGTTCTACAAGAACAAGTTCTTTTATATATATATATATATATATATATATATTTCTACCAGAAAGTTTTTAAGAATCTGGTCCACGATGATATGTTCGTCCTCATTCACCATACCCACTACATCCACCCTCAAAACACAACTTCGTACTTCTAGAATAAGAGGCCGTCTTGTGGAGTTTGTCTCCTTTAATATTGTGACTTTGGGCAATGTATTTAACCCTTGAAATCTCAAACTCAATAGCTATAAAACAAAGATTATCATGTCCTTCTCATAGTGACAATAAGAATATTGTGTATTAATTGCCCATGTAATATCTGTGTACATTTACAATAATAAAAACTACTATTATGACATGCAAATTCACTTTATAGTTTTTATAAAGGAACTTCAAAAACGTGTGGAAAATGGAATCAAAAGTTAATGGAATTTTCTATGAACTTTTGGATATTCCCTTTAATTCCCAATATTCTCTACCTTTTTATAGAGACTCTTGAATCCATTGGAACCCAAAGACAATATTAGTGATAGAAAGATTTATTAAGGAAGTTAACAGGTGGCACTGCTCTTGAAAAATGCTCAGGATATAGTTGTTCATCAGGATGTTACAATGTTATTTTAAAGCTGCTAACAAACTCCCAAAGGGCATTCCACAGAGCTATAAACCTCAACCAGAAAGCATGCAGCTCATACTCAATGAGTCAGCAAACCCAGATCCCTGAATTAAGTGCCTGGAGATACCTCACTCCAGTAAATCACAACCCAAAGTGACTTAGCTCCATGTCTGTGTCTGTGGATCACCAAGCCCAGCTCCACTAAATCCCCAGAGGTACCTCATACTACAATCCAGCCTCCTTCCCCCAAATCATTGAGTTTTACTTGCTCTGTAGGCTGGGGAATCCACCACTTTGCTTTCAGCTTGGACTTCTGCTTCTGTCGCTGCTCCTCTGATGTCACATCTGTCTTCTGGACCCAGAGGGTTCACTGAGCAGGGCTCTGTGGTCCATAGCAGCACCTCTCCCCAGCCAACAGCCAGGTGTCTTTCCTACCTTCAGACTTTCATCCATGTGGTCACTTGGCTTCTTGTCTCTAGGGGCCAGGAAGCCAGCCTGTCAATCCCGCTGTCTCATCGTTTTATAGTCTCCGGCCAAATGAGAAGGGGGTATTGCATAATCTCAGCACCGTCCTCTGAGTGTCTGTGCTACAGTCTCTGTTGCATCTGGTCTCAGTGGCCTCGGCCCTTCTAAAAGAGATCTTGGAAGTGCTCTTCCAAGGGCCTGAAATTTCTCTGTGTGTCCCAGATGACTCTTATAAACTGAGGTATGGCTATTAGCAGACCAGACCTCGAAGGAAATTGAATGATAATGCCTTTAATAAAGTTGTTGTAGATAAGCCTTCAAGGGAAAGAGTTTTACTTGGTTCAAAACCTTTACTAAATGCAGGTCTTAATCTCACCCTAATCTTACAGAGTAGAACGTCGCCTGCGGGTTTCAGAGAAATCTTTACAGGAGTAGAAAGCCTCCTCTTTCTCCCGCGCAGTGTTTGGTGTGTTTAAACTGCTCACTTTGCGGTTATTAGCCAGTTTGTGATCCACTTTGTTGTCAGGGCTGGGTGTTCTTTATCCAGACCATCTGCCTCTGCCTGACAACTGACTCACATGGGAAGAAAACGAAGTTGGGGGGACAGGAAGGGCTGCCTTCAATGAACCCACTTCATAAAGGACTGAATACAGAGAAATGTCCCCAGTGGTCTAGGCGCATCCCCAGCCTCGAGCTGATATTGTTTGAAGTGGGATACATATTCTATTTGGGGATTACAAGCAATACCATGAAATGAAATATATTTGAAATACTGAATGGAAAATTGATTTGAACCGTAAACCTTCACTTAATTCATAGTGGAAAAGAATTGATTTTGACTTTTCAATGAGTGTGGGGCAGCGGGCAAGAAAACCAAGTGACCCTGCTTTCCCTCTTTCCCCGGCAGCTCCCCTTGCAGGACTCGCTGACCACGGGCGCTGAGTGCTGGCCCTTCTATCGCTCCTCTGCGGCCTGCGGCACCGGCGACCAGGCCGCCGTGTTTGGAAACCTCTCAGGGTCAAATCCAAGGCAGCAGATGAACGGGCTGACTTCTTTCCTGGATGCATCCACCGTCTACGGCAGCACGCCCGCCTTGGAGAAGCAGCTAAGGAACTGGAGCAGTGAGGAAGGGCAGCTCAAGGTCAACCAGCGCTACCGGGATGACGGCCGGGCTTATCTGCCCTTCATGCGACCCCGGGGGCCCTCGCCCTGCGCGCGGGAGCCGGGCGCGGCCGGTGCGGGGCGCATCGAGTGCTTCCAGGCGGGCGACAGCCGCGCCAGCGAGGTCCTGTCCCTGACGGCGCTGCACACGCTGTGGCTGCGGGAACACAACCGCCTGGCCGCTGCGCTCAAAGCCCTCAACCCGCACTGGAGCGCGGACACGGTCTACCAGGAGGCGCGCAAAATCGTGGGGGCGCTGCATCAGGTGCGCGCACTGGTAGGGGCGCTGCTGCCAGGCTGAACCCCAGCCGGCTGCCAGGGGATTGGTGGGGTCCTGGGAAACCTTGGTCTGAGCGTCGTGATTGGCCAGGGATACCAAGAGCAAGGTCAACTGGGATTCGAAAATATTAAAAGGTTCAACTCAAGGGATCTTCCCAGTATCAGGGGCTATTCTAAGGACTTTACAAGTTTTATTTATTGCTTTTCTTAATTTCTTCAGTTCGCTTCTCACAGCAACCCCTTGCAGTGGGTAGGCATCAGTGATTTGCTGTATTACTGTCAAAGAGTGACTCATTTTACTCACCTCATAAGGCTGTCGTGAAGAACAAATGAATCAACTATTTCCGTTTTTGTCTGTTGAATGTTAGCTCTGGTGTCATCGGAGACATTTTCAATGTGCCAAATAGGGTTTTCTAGCCTGTATTCGTTATGGAAGCAAATTAAGCACTTAGTTGTTTGAGACACCAGGGCTCTGTGGTAGGACACTACATATTATTCCTTGCCTTCTCGCAAGGGTACCATAGGAATCTACTGAGTCTCATGCAGTTTAAGTGTCTTCCCCAGCGCACCCCGGCCCCCCTACTTCCTTCTCATCGCCGACACATTATAGCCTAGATGTCTAACAGTCAAACCAGACATTGTCAGATCGTGTTGCGGGGGGAGTCAGAATATCCACTCAGTTCGGCATTAGAACGTTAGTTGCTAGAGAGTGAGAGAGAGATGAACAGCATAGGGATTTAGCCTGTAGAAAGCTCTAGGATGCTTAAGAGTTTCTGAGCAATAACTCTCTTAGCAACCACTGTAGAAATTCTTCATTATGCACACATCAGTATAGAACAGTTGAATATCAGCAATGATGGAATAGGTCTATATGCTGATGCGTGTGTGTGTGTGTGTGTGTGTGTGTGTGTGTGTATGTGTGTGTGTGTAATAGGCTTGAGTTAGAAAAAGAGAAACTGGATACATACATAAAGAGAAGAAAGATAAGACTTTGTCTCCTATGCTTTGGATATGTTATCAGGAGGGACCAGTCCCTGGGGAAGGACATCATGCTTACTAGTAAAGAAAGGAGTCAGCCCCCAAAGAGGAGGACCTTCAACGAGTGAATTGGCAGCATTATTACAATGATTCAGTAACCATTGTGAAGATCCTAGAATGGTAGACAGTGGTTCATCCTATTGAGTATTGGGTTGAAATGTATTGGAACCAACTTGATGGCACCTACAGAGACAAAGAAGGAGGGGAAGGTCCTCCAGGAGATGGATTGACAAGCAATAGGCACCACTGTGAGGATGGCACAGGGCAGGCAGTGCTTCATTCTGCTGTGCACCGGGCCCCCATGCATCAGAACTTACTTGATGACACCCAACAGCAATGACAAAAGGATCATAGCTGCAGTTTAACACTGAAGTTTAATATTGGCAAGCTACTTCACTGAAGAATTATAAACTTGCTTATTATTTGTAAATAGACAAAACTCCAATATTAAAAAAGGAGGGGGGAAAAGAACCTAATCATATAGGATTTTGTAAAGGAGAGAAATTCAAACAAATTTGAATGTAGCGATATGTCATGACGATAAGTTTTGTCCCTTTTTAAAGAAAAATAATCAGTAAACCATGTCACTTTCAAGTAGCTCACCAGCCATTATCTCGAGTCTTTAAAGTAAAAAAGTATGAGCAGAACGTAATCAAGAGATCAGCGATAGTAAAAGGTATGGTATTGTTATAATGACTTACTTCTGTCGGCACATTGTCTTGGTGATGCAAGTCCTAGGTGATTATATTTTCTTCCCCTGATTTATCACCACATGCCATGTCGTGTGTGCTTTTTGGGTGGTTTTGCTCACGTGCCTCCCTTCCTGCCACTCTGGAAGGTCAGTTCTTATGAGGGCAAAGGTTTTCATCTATGTATACACTTAATTCTTTTTCCAGAACTTAAAATATACCGGGCAAAAGCAGATGCTTCATAAAGATATGTTCAAAGAATTAATGCCAGCTAAACTCCAAGAAAATGGTAGGGTTCCGACCTCCCGCTATATCCTCAAGAATCAGAATTTTATTTAAATATTCTTCAAATTAAAAACTTCAATCAACCCAGGGGAAATATACAGAGAACAGCTGGATTTCAGATCAATGATGACTATTCAGAAAAAAAGAAAAATACAGTGATCATGCATCCATTTTCTCTCTTCTCAGTATCTCCCTGTGATTGACTTCCTGGTGTGGCTTATTCGTATATGCCTGGTCTTGTACTTACAAACTAAGGATAGTTTGATTCTGGGGTTCTGAGAACCCCAACTGATCTAGAAATAATTATATTTGGATATCTATTCTTCTTACCAAATAAAATAATGATGACAACAAAATCAATAGCAAAAACACTCTTCAGGTTGTTTGTATTTCCCTTCCTCAATCTATTTTCTGGGTTTTCTGATTTTGTGGTTATTAATATTTTTTTTCTTCTTGGCCTCATGCTTAGCTTTCAAGTTTTCTTTGGTGCTTTTTCAGTCAATAGCTTCTTTCCCGTGCTTTTTACAAATACCTTTGAAAAGTTAAAATAATAAGCTGCATTTCATGTGTCAATAAGACTACTGCTGAGACTTTAAACTGTATGTTAATGATCCAGGGCAGCCTGGAGAGATGGCCATTTTTCTCCCCGTGGTTTTATTGACCCACAGTTCAGTAACTTGATGATATGAATCTCTCTCCTCCTGAAAGACATTAGATAATTAAAAGAAATATCAGTACAAACTTAAAGAATATATGTCTTTTCTTCCTTCCCCAACAAAGCCAGCCAAGAGGCCCAAATAATATATACAAGGCTACATCTTCTGGTGCTTGATAGTTCCCATCAACCAAAAAGCTCTGACAAGAAAGTACATATCCTTTCTCCTTCATCTGTCTACCCTCAATTTCATTAGAAAATTTTCAATGATTGAACTTCAATCATCCCTCTGCAATGTAAATATCTCCATCAGCTGCCCTGAGGAACTCAGCAATCACAATTTCTCATGTGATACAGAGGACCTGCATAGGTATCATTCCTTTACTCTGAGGATAGACTCCTAAGGAGCCTGGTAGCATGGTGAGTTTTAAGGAAGAATGCTGACTGCAAGCAGCTCCTAGGTAGGTAGATGAGGCCTTACGCCTGTGAAGATTTATATCCTCAGAAACCCACAGGAGCAGGCCTCTCCTGTCCTTTAGGATCACTATGAATTGGAAAGCAGTCGGTGGCAGTGAATGAGTGAGTGATGGAGTGAATGAGTGAATGGATGAGTGAGAAGCATGGACTCAAGGAGTACTGATGACGTGAGTCAGAGGTTCATGCCCACCCAATTCTCCACAGGAAAAAGTTAAGGCTTTCTGCACAGGTGAGGATTTACAGCCTCAGAAGCCCAGACGGATAGTTTGACTTTGTTGTAAAGGATCAGTGTGAATGAGAATCCACCCAATGGCATTGAATGAATGAGTGGTAGACTGCCTTATGATGTTTTCTATTCTACACACCCTGCATTCTATGATGAAAACAAAAACCGAAATTCTCACTTTTCTAATAATCATAGCATTAATCTATGAAGAAGAATAAAAATAAATCTCACTGCCACTAAGTCAAGGGTGATGCAGGGCTACCCTATAAGACAGGGTAGGACTGTCCCTGTGAGTTTTGAGACTGGAATTATTTACAGAAGTAGAAAGCTCTGTCTTCCTCCCAACTACTTTGTCACAAAACATGAATAAAGACACAGATACTCACTTTAACAAGATTATTAGTGTTCCATATGTATGAAGAAAATAATAACAATTAAAAAAAACCAGCACAGGTATGAGGTATAGAGAAGAAAATTTTAAGAGGTCTGAGGAGTTAAAGGCAAAGACTTCCGAAACAACAGACTTGAATATTTCACACTCACACCTCTTTTTCTCCTTAGCTCTCTGATAACAGTTATTAGGCAAAGTTTCTTAAGGAAAAGTGGTAATTTTCCCAGATCCCCATGGACTAACAAAAGCTTTAATTAGGAGTTCTATGGAGACAAGACTTGACCTCAGTACAGCACACTACTGCTGCCTGTGGCACTCCCGTCTGAATGAACCAGACAAACTCCCCAGAGAGAATGTCTTGCTACCTCTGAGACATCATTTGCTGAAAGTTTGAAGCAGCTGAAAACTCTTTGTTAGTTGGTTGTTCTTCACAAGTAGAGAGAGAGAGAGAGAGAGAGAGAGAGAGAAAGGGGTCGTTGCCTGTTGCTAGAAAGATTCAAGGGATGACAGTTTCTACCGTGGGTGCTTTTAATCTTTGGATGTCCGCCTCAGATCCCCTTTACTGGAAGTAGTCACATTTCCTAGTGGCTTTGGAAGTGACTGGAAAAAACACACAGTTGCCCCTCCTTTAAAGAAGAGAAGTGTAGTCTCCTACTTCCCAGAAAGATCCAAACTAATGATTGACCAAGCCTCCTCACCTTGAGGCCAGAACAGAATGGTACAACTCATGCCCCAGAGCTGTCTACAGGATCGGGATGGTGGGGAGACACCAAACCAGACTCCAGGTAACACCAAATTCTGTGGTAACTTCTTGTTTTGCTCAGTCCCGCTTCATATTCGGTCTCACTGAATACGAAGAATCCTGTCTCTGAAGAAACCAGCATGGGGCAGTTGTGACCAATTAGGCTTTTTTTTTTTTTTAAGTTGAGGAACTTTTCCTGCAGAGATCAGAGAAGCAATATTGAGAAGAGAGTTAGAAATCAGAATATTAAATCTGGTAGCACAATGATTAGATACTCAGATGCCAATCAGAAGGGTGACGGCTACAGCCCACCTGTGACTCTGGGAGGAAGACCATGCGCTCTGCTTGGATAAAGATGGCCATCTTGGGACCCCTGTGGGCCGTCCTACTCCGTCACACAAACCAACGGCGAGAAGAGGCATTGGACTGAATGCCATTCACATCTAGGGGTTTATAATGAGGGCATCTGAGTCTTTCTGTCCT